TCCTAGGTTCGAATCCCAGTTGGACCAGGGCCTTTCTGAGTGGAGTTTGCATGTTCTCCCCGTGTCTGCGTAGGTTTCCTCCGGGTGCTCCGGTTTCCCCTACCACTAAAAATATGTACAATAGGTCTGGCATGTGCCTCCTGTACTGGCACCCCCACTCCCAAAAATCACAATTGTAAACCGCTTTGAGACTCCGATGTGCAGTGAAAAGGCGGTATATAAATAAAGATTACTTACTTACTACTTACTTACTTATTCTCTGAGCCACAGGAAGCCAGTGAAGAGACCTGAGGACTGGACTAATGTGGTCGTACTTCCTGGTTCTAGTCAGGACTTGAGCTGCTGCATTTTGAATGTACTGCAGCTGTTTTACAGCCTGTTTGGACAGACCTGTGAGCAGGCCATTGCAGTAGTCTAACCTACTGGAGACAAATGCATGGATAAGAATCTCCAAGTCTGCTTTAGACACTATGTTTTTGACCCTGGCAATGTTTATTAGGTGGGAGAAAGCTTCTGATGTTACTGATTTGATGTGTTTAGTAATGATCTATTAAAATTTAAGTCTGAGTCCAGTATTACCCCTAGATTTCTGACCTTGTTTGAAGGTTTTAGGGAGAGAAGCTGTAGGTGACAGATGACACTCTCTCTTTGTTTCTGGGGACCAAAGACAATCATTTCAGTTTTGTCTGCGTTTAGCTGAAGGAAGTTGTAAGTATGTTTTTCCTGAACATATTGGTTCACGTCTTGGTCAGGGAACCAAATACAGACCCAGAGGTATTCACAAAATATCGGATCGCAATGCTGACACAGAAGCATGGAGACAGACAGTGAAAGACAGACGACATACATCATCCAACTGGACAACTCAATGCAAGTTGAACTGTGTATCCAAAAAAGGAAATTACGGAGAACATTTCTTCCTCTTCCTTTCTTTCTCCTCCCGGTCGACCAAAGCTATATAAGCAGCATTTGTAAATATTAGAGAGTCTCGGATTGAACGGACTGCATGTGCCGCTTCAATTTGAACTCCCGTCCATCTTATATGTACATAAAGACCTTCCTCTACAAACCACCAAGTTGAGTATTTGTTTTATTGCATTTCTCTGATTCATGTCATTGCTTACGCCACATTATGTGAGTGTTCCAGATATCTAACTGTGCTTATGCAGGCCCTCCGGTCACCAGAGGTTGTGAGGCTGTGATCTTATAAAATCACCTAACCCTGATTTTAGAAGTTGTTTTGCATCCACTCACTGGTGTGTGTCGTCTGGCGCACACCGGGGTAGTCTTGCACAGTTTTTCAATGTGGTTTTACTGCAAATGGCAAATAAATGAATCTGAATCTGAATCTGATCTGTTGGATACAGTGAAGGAGTGAGTCCACTGGTCCTTGTTCTCCTGCAGTCAGTGAGACATAGATCTGAGTGTCGTCTGCATAGTTGTGGTAGTTAATACGCAGGTTTCTGCGTATCAACTGACCTAACGGCAGCATGTAGAGATTGAACAGAAGAGGTCCTAGGATCGACCTCTGTGGTACGCCACAGGTCAGGACCATATGATCTGAGACACAGTTTCCAATCTCCACAAAGTACTCCCTGTCTTCAAGGTAAGACCTACACCGACTTAGGGCGGTTCCAGCGACACCAACCCAGTCTTCTAGTCTCAGTAAGAGGATCTCATGGTCGACGGTGTCAAAGGCAGCACTTAGATTTAACAAGATTAAGATTGAGACTTTGCCTGCGTCAGTGTTCAGCCGGATATCGTTTGTAACCTTAACGAGAGCAGTCTCAGTGCTGTGGTGGGGTCTAAAGCCGGACTGAAACATATCAAATGAGTTGTTGATTATAAGAAATCTAGTAAGCTGTAGGTAGACAACTTTCTCAAGGACTTTCCCCATAAATGGCAGATTTGAGATGGGACGATAGTTGTTAAGTACCGTAACATCCAGCCTGCTCTTTTTTAGCAGGGGCCTGATGACTGCAGTTTTCAGGGCCTTTGGGAATGTTCCAGAATGAAGGGACATGTTTACTATCTGTGTGAGTGAAGGTAACAGACTGCTCAGAACAGACTTCAGAAATCTAGTGGGTAGTAAATCCAGGCTGCATGTGGAGGAGCTCAAACTGGAGATTATCTCTTGGACATTTTTATCATCTACAGGTGCAAAGTAAGTTAGCTCAAAGAGCCTTTCTGGTTGTTGGATGGTTATCTGTGGATGGGAGACGATGGTGTTTTTGATGCCTTGAACCTTGTCATTGAAAAAATGTGCAAACTCATTGCATTTACATTTGGACGTAAGCTCTAATGGCAGCCAAACAGGGGGATTTGTTAATCTATTAAATGTTGAAAGCAGAACACACAGATTGTTACTGCAGCCTTCAATCATTTCAGAAAAATACCTTTCTCTTGTACTACGTAGCACCCGGTTAAACTCGCACAACTTATCCTTGAATATCTCGTAATCAACCTGGAGGTTGGACTTGGGCCACTTCCGCTAGGCCCCCCGGCACTTTCTCTTCAGTGCTCTGACCGAGTCTGCTTTAGCCCATGGCGCCTTCTGCTTATTTTGCACTATTTTAACCTTTGCAACGGTATCCAGAACATTCAAAACATTAAAGGTGACAGAGTTAAACAGTTAATCTACAGTAGAATACTATGCATTTTCAAAGTTTATCATTCCTATAAATAGTTCACTTGTATTTTCATTTACGTGTCTTCTTCGAACAGTTGCAGAGTCCACTGGTGGTTTGTTAGTGAAACACATGTCAAAAAATACGCAGAAATGATCCAAAAGAGCAGCATCGAGATTTTACTTGTGGCATGCTGTGATTTGTTTGGAGATGTAGATATGTATCAGCATGCATAACAGCAGTCTTCAGGGGAAATTTACAGTGTACCAGATCTTTCTTACAGTGACTATTTTGACAACGATGATGATAATAATCATGATGAGGAGGCACCCGGAAGCTATGTTGCTAGCTCTGAGTCAGAGCAGTAATTCCACTGTGACTTGTACAACCCCTAAATTGTCTTTAATAAACAAGTAGAATTCAACATATTTGGTTTCCTAATTCAAGTTTAAAACACGGTACAAGACTTGCTTGTTTAGTAAGGTGCTAACTACTAGGATATCCAAACATAAGAAAAGGCACACAAAATATACTGTTGTTTACTTTTATTTGACTTAATTACAATTATATATATGTTGTCACTTATATTATCTAGATTTTATTTTGCAGTTAAATTAATAGAGTGCTAAAGCTCTCCATTATTTAGTCATAGCATGCACCCATTTATGTATGCTGCCCCAATCCAACCTGGACAGAATGTAGCAGTTGAAGATAATGTCATGGTGTGGATTTTTATTTTAGTACTTTGGTTTTATTTTGACATAAGTTTGGTGTTAGTTGTACTTCCTGTCTTGTTCCCCTGTCTTGATTGTCTGCCCCGCCCTGATATGTTTCACCTGTGTCTGTGTCTATATGTTCCCTGTGCTCCTTTCTTCTTGTTGCTGGTTCATTGTATTGTCTGTCCTTGTCAGTCTGTGTTCCTGGTTCCTGGGTTTTGTTTTCATCTTGGACTTTTATTAGATTTTAATCATTAAACCATTTTTGTTTATCGCATTCCTGCGTTTTGAGTCCTCCATCACTTCACCTCATGACAGATAAGGAATGAGGAAAACTGTCTTTTTCTGGTTGTTCCTTGGAGACTTCCATCTTCTGGAAGACCTCAACCGTGGTTAAAATGTGACTCATTTTGGGTGGGTACCACTTGGCCAGGATAGCTGCAGCTCTCTGTCAGCTTTTTTCATCAGGTCTTTTTAAATGCCAACAGATTTGCTGACCCTGGTAGCTGTGTCCTCTGTCAGGTTGCTGGCTTTATTCCTCAAAAATGATTTCAGGAAATTGTTCAGATGCTCAAGATGGAGATCCGGGGTTTTTTTTTGCCTTTGCCACCCTTGCAATTCCAGAACCTATTTCACATAATGTCTTGTGCAATTTGAGGGGACAAAGTGACATTTAGTTGAACTGTTAAAAGGTACGTGCAAAAGGCATATTTACTATGTCCGTAAGCCTTGTAAATGTGTAGAACCACCAGTCTTGTGCCAGTTTACAACTTTTCTAAACTAGTTCAAGTTCAGTTCATACATGCTCAAAATGAACAGTTCACGTTCAAAGTTCACAATTTTAATTCTGAACTAGTTCAAAGTTCAGTTCATTTTACTTTTTGCGAGAGATATTCAAATCTCAATTCAAATTTCACTACGAGCTAGAAATCACTATACGTGGTATATATATATATATATATTACATATACATACAATCTCCTGTACACTGCACAGGACGTTTTGACTCCAATGCAGACAAGATTTACATGGGTTTCAATGGGAACTGAGTTGTCCCATCTCTGCTCATAAGTACTACAAACTAATGCGCTGCAGAACGTGTGTCTATACTTTGTCAAATGTAAACTGCCTTATGTCACTGACTTACCCCTGTGTTTTCATCACGGCACATGTGAGTCCAACAACCAATGAATAGCACTGGCATACAGCGCCGCACCGCAAGTAGTACAATGAGTCGGGGTGCGTTCAGACGGTGGAAACCGTAGGAATGTTTAGTTTTCGGCGGAAACAGTGCGGAGAATACAGGAGGGAAGAACTTTCTCTTGTTGCGTTTCAAAAGAGAAAACAGATTTCACTCAGTTTTAAATGGAAAACAAATTGTCTGCCATTCATGACACATAATATGAACTAATTCACGTTCAAGTTCTTTATTAAAACATGTGTTGCGTTCAGTTCAACGTTCACGAAAAAATGAGCATGTTCATTGAACGCGTTCTTTTGAACTTGTTCACACACAACACTGAGAGCCACCTTGTAACGGTGAATCAAGCGTCTCCCTCTTTCACAGCATCCAACATGTTCAAAAGCAGAAAACCAAAGGTCAGCCTTGCCTCTGTTTGCTGTTTTTTCGTGGTCCTTCAGACTTGTAGAAGCAGGCATGCAGCAGGTGAAACGGGTGCAACAACAAGATGGTAAATTTTCCGTTCATGGGTCTCTCTGCTTCTTTACTTTACGTACACTCTTGTGCAATCAGTCTGACGTCAAGGAAGCTTCTCCTTGCCAGTGTGATGGGCAGCATCAGTCACCTCAGCTGAAAGGTCAAAAGTGTTTGTGAAGGTCAGGAATTTGTCCACAACCTCTACCACAGAGTCATGTAGCCATATCCTTATCTGTTCTTCTGTGCCCCGTCAAACGTGGTCTGGCATAACTCCTTCAGCTGTGTCTTTACACAAAAGATATATACAGAGTGTTCAAAATAATTAAGCAATTCATCATTCATTCAATCAAATTATAGTAAAACTCATTATCTTCCCATATCAGGCCTTTTTATAATGGGAATTTGATATATTTTTTAAAAAATAGTTTATAATCCACTTTTTTACCAGTGACCACAACCTTTGTTAATGCTATAAATACTACATGCTTACTATTAGTGCATGTGGTCTTAAATATAGAAAATCATTATTTTTTAGAACTTTATAACAACAATGACAAAAAGTATGATCAGATACCAAACAAACTTAATATTCAAACGTGTAACATCATCCAACTGGAAATGTTCCAAAGCTGCTGCCAGGAAAAGCGCAGTTGTGTCGATCTGTATGGATTATTTGTATGCGTTATAAGACTTATGTGGACCTTTTTTGGAATTGCTGCACCTGCAAATCCATAACCAGTTAGTTTAATAAAAAAGAAAATCAGAAATAACAATAACATTCGGAGTCAGTGTCAAAATTTGTTCGATGTCTACTATTGTTAATTCCCTATATAACAAGCATTACAGAGTATTGAGATAGTGTTTGACCAGACCCCAAATGTGCAATTAAAACTAAAACACAAACAGAAAGTCGTTTGAAATGAATACATTATTGTATCAAATCAAATGATTATTAACTCATGTAAGTAAAAACCTCAGAATGTATATTAACAATGGGTGGAGCTTCCCTATGACAATCAAGAGCGGGCTAACAAAGCTCAACTGTGCAGGTTTAGCAAAAATGAAAACATACAAATAAAATATTCATAATTAGGACAATGTAGAGTCTGTAGAGTGTGAGACAAACATGACAAGGAAATAAAGAATGTGTCTAAAAAAGACTTCAAAAAGAGCCAAACAGTTTACTTAAGGTAAGGTAAATCCAGGAAATAGCAGGCTTCTATTTATCGATCATTATTATAAAGTCTATGGTAAATACTAGTGAATTCATATGAAGCTAAAGCGGAAATTCAGACTGGAAGACCTGAGAACCCAGCTCACCGCTCAGTTCTCCTCAACAGCAATTGGTCAATCACACTCAGCTGCGCAGCGCCTCACGCAAATCCTCACCTGCAGCAATCAGGCACTGCCCGCATCAGCTTCATACCTCGCAGAAGCTCCATCCAAGCAGCAGCTTCATTCATGCCACAAGTCTCACTCGTCACCCGCACACGGTGTACGCGCTGCACCGCTGTGGTCTACTCATTGCTCGGACGATTTTGTTCTCTGCTTCCCAGGGCTGTACATGGCTGTTCGCAGCCCTGGCTGCCCCTTTCGCTTCACCACTCCTGCTACAGGTCGCGTGCCGCAGCCCCCTCTTCGGCCCGATGCATGCAGACAGACGTCCGGACCGGGACTGGAGTGCTTCTGGCTTGCAGTCCGGGACCCGGGGGTGTCCGTTCGACGCTGATTCTGCGTATGCGTCAGCACACTTTGACGCCACGCCACACGCTTCGACGCAACGGCGGTGGCCGCACACTTCGACGCCACGCCGGTGGCCACACACTTCGACGCCACGCCGGTGGCCACACACTTCGATGCCCACTTAGACAGGGGGTTGCTGCTCGATGCTGGTGGTCTGGCCTTGTCGGGGTGGCTACGACAATGACCACGCCTGTGGTAGCTTCCTGCCGCACGCTTGACGCCACGCCGGTGGCCGCCTCCTGCCACACGCTCAACAACACGCCAGTGGCCACCTCCTGCCGCATGCTCGACGTCACACAGCGCATTAATTCTCTCCTCTTCTTCAAAGTACAGCTTCGTGCCTTCTTACAGCGGCGGGCTGGACTATAGCGAAGAAGATCTGATGATATGTCTGCAGCATATATAAAAATCAAAACTTTTTTTTACAAAATGGAACATTATTTGTGTAACAGCCATAGAAAGGGAAGCTTTTTTGACTATAACTAATAGTTATAGTAAAAGTGTAAGAGTGTGGAGTTAGGAAAATAAAACTAAGTTAAGTACAGTATGTTTTAAAAACCTGCAAACAAAGTTTACATAAACCCTACTCACTTGATTAGGACAGGTCATCAAGGCTGTTTTGAGTTGTCCTTTGAATTAAAAATGACTCAAAGTCCTGTTTTAAGGACATGGGGCACATGCAGTACTGGGCAATTTTTGTTTGCAAATCACAATACTATGTACTGTACAGATGCCCAGTTTGGAATGTTGCCTTTTTTGCCCCTCCATACAAAAATACAGAGTTTACATGATAGGCCAGGGCTGATAAACAGGACTCTCTTCTCCGTAATAGAACCTTTGGCAATTTTGGAAAGAAAGCTGAACAAGACAGGTGAAAGACTCCTCAAGTCACCATGTAACTCTTGAAAGGAAAGATTTGTCTTTTGCAGATATTTGTCTTCGTTTGCACCTGTCATTCACATGACAATGCATCATAAACGAATATATAAAAAAACTTCGGGACAAAGTGGAGATTTTTGAAAATTCTGTTTATTTTAATAAACAGATAGAGAATTTTGCGTTTTCGCACGTCACAGTATGCCCCCAAAACAACAACAAACAAAACATTTACCCTGAGTTTCTACTGTGACTAAAAGTTATAGATCCATGGAAAAAATGCGACTACAGAAGTACTGGCGTCAGCATGAAAGCTCCGCCCACTTCTGTGTTTTTCCCCAACGCAGGACAGGACGTCAGAGGACGCACATGTTTGAAATGTTAAGAATGTGATTGAAAACGCAGGTGTTCGGTATGTGCGGATGCAAATTATTTTCTAAACAGAGGGGGGGAAATATTTGGTTTTAAAAATACCCGGCTAAGTGTGGACATGGCCCAAGAGCACTTGCCCTCCACAGCATGAAAAGATCTTGCTGGTTACACAGGGTTGCACAGTCAGCCCCCACAACGCACTAACTTGTAAAGCCTCCATGACATCACGATTGTGTAAATGAGTGTGGCACTGCTACAACACATTCCTACTCAATGAGTGTTCACGCAGAGGACTTGGCTTCATTGAAAACTTTAATCTGTTCTGGAATAGGCACGAGCTGAAGAAAAAGGCCCACATCTGAACAACTACGGAGTAAAAGTGCTGATGGATAACTTTGCATCTGCCCTAAGACCTCAGCCTGCGCAGCGCGTGCTGCCGTTGAAAGGGAGAAAGAAGAAGCAAAGGGCACAGACATCACGACCATCTCCACCGACTCCCGAGGTCTCTGCACCCCCACCGCCTCAAAAGAACTCCACACCTCCACGATTCAAGAAGAACTCAACACCTCCAAGGTTCCAAAAGAACTCAACACCTCCACGGCTTCGAAAGAGCTCAACGCCTCCACCCCCAGCATCATCAGCAGCTGCCACATCTTCATCAGCGCCATCAGCATATACAGCACCACCAGCAGCAGTGGATACAGCCGCAGCAGTGGCTGCTCCATCATATTCAGCAGCAGCAGTGGATACAGCAGCAGCAGTGGCTGCTCCATCATCTTCAGCAGCAGCAGTGGATACAGCCGCAGCAGTGGCTGCTCCATCATCTTCAGCAGCAGCAGTGGCTGCTCCATCATCTTCACCAGCAGCAGTGGATACAGCAGCAGCAGTGGCTGCTCCATCATCTTCAGCAGCAGCAGTGGCTGCTCCGTCATCTTCAGCAGCACCTTCCCCACCTACAGCTCCCGTGAAGCCTCCCCCATTACTCCAGGCTACAGTCAGGCCTGTACTGGGGGTTCCTCAACCACCTCTGTCTCCACCAAAGACTCCCTCATCACCTTCCATGGACCCGGCTTGGGTCCCCCCCGCTACATCCACTCCATCTAGGGAAAATGAGGACGACCTTTCCCTTTGTTTTCTATCCCTGCCTTCACTACTGGATTTACCGGAACACTCTGCAGGCATGATAAGATCGGCGATGACTATTCCTCTCACACCCACTGTAGCCAGATCAAGAGTCCTATCTAACATTCAAAACTACTCCCCATACGTACCTCCAAAGCCACCTAGGGCGTCCAACTCAAATTCTCCCACAAAATCCACCCGTCCCTCCTCTAACCCCATAAGTATTCCACCCCCCCCTCCTGCTCATTTAGCCCACCTCCCCCCCCCTAACTCAGCACCAAGAAACCCTCCACCTCCACTCCCCCCTCGTCCACCACCCAACTCAGCCTGCCCCTCCCCTAACCCATCACCAAAAACCCATCCACCTCCCTGCCCCCCTCGTTCAACACCCAAAAGCCACCCACCTCTCCATCCTCCTCCCCCGCCTTCCCCTACCCCTCTTTTCTCTAAACACTAGGATGCACAGGGTCTCTGCTTCGCAGCCACTGGCAGTCTAGTTAGAGGAGAGACCCGGCTGGGGCCCTGTCATGAAGCCACCTGTGCCATTCCCTTAGTGATAACACAAAGAATACATTACAGAAAAACATCTGGAGTTAATCAGTCTAATCTGGAAAATCTAATTCTTGTTCCGTGTAAGAATCAGCCGACCGCAACCGCTGATACTGAAACTTTGAAACTTGCTACGCTTAATGTCAGATCTCTTTGTAACAAGTCTTTTTTAATCAATAATTTTATTTCTTCTCATAATCTTGATCTTATGTTCATGGCTGAAACTTGGCTTGACCAAAATTCAGAAAATGCAGTTTTAATAGAAGCATCACCACCAAATTTCAAGTTTGAATCTGAAATACGGGAAAACAAAAAAGGAGGAGGCTTAGCTGCCATTTTTAGAGACCACTTTGTCTCCCATAGAATGTCTCTTGGGAAGTTTTCGTCATTTGAATATGTGTCTTTTAAAATACAACAAAAACAATCTCCTCCAATACTCTTCGTTGTCCTATACAAGCCACCGCAGTCATGTCACAGTTTTAATGATCATTTTACCGAGTTGCTTTCAGTTGTATGCACAGATTTTGATAGTTTGGTTATTACAGGTGATTTTAATATTCATGTGGATAATGTTGATGACAGAAATGCAAATGAGCTGAGTTCTGTACTTGAATCCTTTGATCTCACTCAGCATGTAAGTGGCCCCACCCACAGCAGAGGGCACACTCTAGATCTGTTAGTTACAAAGGGGGTGATTATTTCAAATGTAAACGTGGTCGATGTTGCTCTTTCGGATCATTTCTGTGTTTTTTTTGACATGTGTTTCACTAACAAACCACCAGTGGACTCTGCAACTGTTCGAAGAAGGCGCATAAATGAAAATACGAGTGAACTATTTATGGAAATGATAAACTTTGAGAATGCATCGTATTCTACTGTAGATGAACTGTTTAACTCTGTCACCTCTAGTGTTTTGAATGTTCTGGATACCGTTGCCCCTGTGAAGGTTAAAATAGTGAAAAATAAGCAGAAGGCGCCGTGGGCTAAAGCAGACTCGGTCAGGGCACAAAAGAGAAAGTGCCGGAGGGCCGAGCGGAAGTGGCGCAAGTCCAACCTCCAGGTAGATTACGAGATCTTCAAAGATAAGTTGTGCGAGTTTAACCGGGTGCTACGTAGTACGAGAGAAAGGTATTTTTCTGAAATGATTGAAGGCTGCAGCAACAATCTGCGTGTTCTGTTCTCAACAGTTAATAGATTAACAAACCCCCCTGTTCAAATGCCATTAGAGCTTACTTCCAAACGTAAATGCAATGAGTTTGCAAATTTTTTCAATGACAAGGTTCAAGGCATCAAAAGCGCCATTGTCTCCCATCCACAGATAACCATCCAACAGCCAGAAAGGCTCTCTGAGCTAACTCACTTTGCACCTGTAAATGATAAAACTTTCCAAGAGATAATCTCCAGTTTGAGCTCCTCCACATGCAGCCTGGATGTACTACCCACTAGATTTCTGAAGTCTGTTCTGAGCAGTCTGTTACCTTCACTCACACAGATAGTAAACATGTCCCTTCATTCTGGAATATTCCCAAAGGCCCTGAAAACTGCAGTCATCAGGCCCCTGCTAAAAAAGAGCAGTCTGGATGCCACTGTACTTAACAACTATCGTCCCATCTCAAATCTGCCATTTATGGGGAAAGTCCTTGAGAAAGTTGTCTACCTACAGCTTACTAGATTTCTTATAATCAACAACTCATTTGATATGTTTCAGTCCGGCTTTAGACCCCACCACAGCACTGAGACTGCTCTCGTTAAGGTTACAAACGATATCCGGCTGAACACTGACGCAGGCAAAGTCTCAATCTTAATCTTGTTAGATCTAAGTGCTGCCTTTGACACCGTCGACCATGAGATCCTCTTACAGAGACTAGAGGACTGGGTTGGCGTCACTGGCACCGCCCTAAGTTGGTTTAGGTCTTACCTTGAAGACAGGAAGTACTTTGTGGAGATTGGAAACTGTGTCTCAGATCATATGGCCCTGACCTGTGGAGTCCCACAGGGGTCGATCCTGGGACCTCTTCTGTTCAATCTCTACATGCTGCCGTTAGGTCAGTTAATACGCAGAAACAA